CGAATCTGCGGGCTCAGGCAATCCACTCACCTCAGCCTCCCAAAGGCGCGGGATTACAGGCTGAGCCATATTTTATTTTATCTTTTGAGTCAAGGTCTCACTCTGACCCCAGGCTGGAGTTCAGTGGCGCCATCACAGCTCACCGCAGCCTCCACCTCCTGGGCTCAGGGGATCCTCCCACCTCAGCCTCCCAAGTAGCTGGGACTCAGACACGGGTGCCATTATGCCTGGCTAATTTTTTTGATTTTTTTTTTTTCGCTATGTTGCCCAGGCTGGTCTCGAACTCCCAGGCTCAAGTGATCCTCTCACCTCAGCCTCCCAAAGTGCGAGGATTACAGGCGCGAGCCACCATGCCCGGCCATTTTCCAGCTGCTCAAACTGCCAGCCTTCCTCAGCCCATGGCTGTCTCACTCCAACCTCTGCCAGGTAGTCACATCTGCCTCCCTCTGATAATTCCAAACTTATCTACAACCGTAACATTACACTTGTAAAAACCCTTTTCCGTGCCGCACCCATAGGGCCCAGGGATCAGGACATCCACAGAGGAGCCCTTGAGTATTCACTGAGGAGCAGGTGCCGCACAGTGCAAGGGCTCACAGCAACCTTGCGAAGCAGGGCAGTGCTCCCAGCCGACAGAAGAAGAGACAGAGGCTCCCAGAGCACCCCTGCCTAAGGTCACTCACTCTTAGTGGGCCCTGACCTCCAGAGCTGAGGGCATCTTTCACCGGTTCCTCCCTTCCTGCCAAGGTGACCCTCAAATCTGGACACCCCCTCCGCCCAACTTGGAGGACAAGTTCTGAGCACGACAAAGACCCACCTCCCCACGAGCCCCTCCCCCACCCTAAGTCCCTCCCCCACCCCAAGCCTCCCTGCTCCCCCTCCCGTTTGACTCCCCACCCCCTCCCCACCAGGGTGGGACTCTCAGAGTAAGTCTCCAATTCATCAGCCTCTGAGAAGCATAACTGGGGCTTCTAGGAAAAATCAGCTCCTTACGCCGAGTGCAAGGGTTGTGAAAATGAGTGTTTCAGAGAAGCAGCCATGAAACAGGGGAGCGACTCTTCAGGACCACGGGCTTAGCTTTTTCCCCAAAGAAGAGGGAGGCCGGGTGTAGCTCTTTGGGAGGCTGAAGAGGAGGGATCGCTGAGGCCAGGACTTTGAGACCATCCCGGGCAACATAGGAAGACCTCCCCCCACCTCTAATTTTTAAAAAAAGGGGGGGGAATACCTCATCATCAAGGGTCCCTGCCTAATGAATATTTGTATACCTGACCCTGAATTGTACCCCCCAGTTTTAAAATAAAAAATTTTAAATTTAAAATAAAAAGGAAAGGTTTTGACCAAATTAAAATCTTTTGACTAATTAATAACCCCGGCCAGGAGCAGTGGCTCAGCCTGTACTTCCAGCAATTGGGGAGGCTGAGGTGAGAGGATTGCCTGAGCCCAGGAGTTCAAGACCAGCCTGGGCAACTTGGCGAGACCTCGTCTCTACGAAAAAATAATAAAATTAGCCAGGCATGGTGGTGTGCGCCTGTAGTCCCAGCTACTGGAAAGGCTGAGGCAGAAGGATCACCCGAGCCCAGGAGATCAAGGCTGTGGTGAGCCGTGATGGTGCCACTGCTCTCCAGCCTGGGTGACCGTGGGACCTCGACTCAAGCTAACAAAAGAAACCAAAACCGTGAGCACAGTGGCTTTTCTGGGCCTGTGAGGCCTGCTCGTAAATCATAAGAGCCTGAGGAGGGTCCTGGGGCCCCCAAGCACACCCTGTAACCAACATGAACACTGCTTGGTGGGCGCCTGTCTGGGCAGGCCCTGAGATGAAGGATCCACGTGTCTCGCTGCAACCCCTCCCGAGAGGCCCCGTGTTCAACCCCAGCTCGCGCCTGTAAGAGGAAGCCTTGGAAGGAAGCTTCGGACATCCGATCCCCAGGACGCAGGCTGCAGACCTGGGGGTCACCGACTCTGCCAGCCAGCTCTCCACGCCCCCACGTGGGTATCCCACAGGACAGCGACCTTCTGGCCCCATCCAGAGGCCACTGTGCCCACACAATGCCCGGGTGGTTCCCAGACCAGAGAAGGAAGAGAACAGGCTTCCGTCCACATCCGCCAGCCCAGGGGTGGCCGTCGGGGAGGACTGTTCATTTCTGCCCGACCCCCACAGGAGCGGCTCACGCAGCCCCTCCAGTGTCCACTGGGACTGACTGGGTGGAGGGGCCGGGGAGATGGGGGGCAAGGGGGCACCCAGGAGGGAGGGTGCCTGCCCCAGGCTTCGGGAGGCCTCTGGACTAATCAGCAAGGGGACACACCCAGGACAGACGCAGGACCCCACAACCCTCCACGGCACCGGCAGGGTCTCGTCACCCCCACCCCTAGGGAAGGAGGCCCTCAGAGCCTGTGGACAAGACCCTTGATCACAGGCACAGCTGAGACCCAGGGGAAGGACGTGACAAGCACTTCCCAGCCCAGGCCCGGGCTGAGCAGGGCGTTTAATGGATTCAGAGAAGAGATCAAAGTCTGCAAGAGCAAAACAACGATGGATTTTGTTGCGCAAATTTCATTCTTGCCTAAGAATACAAAGGGGATCCAAAAAAGCCCCTGGAATTTATTTATAAAAAATTATGAATTTATTCTTACATGTTTAAACTTCAGTCACCTTCAAAGTCCTCTCCGTTGGATACAGTACTCCTATCGAGATGCTTTTTCCACTGCTCAAAACAGTGTTTGAACTCATCCATTTGGATGCCTTTTAGTGCTTCTGCTGTGTTTTGTTTCACCTCATCCACGTCAGCAAAATGTTTCCCTTCGGGGACTTTATTTCATCCGGAGAAAACAACAAAAAAAACTGGCTCCGGGTGAGATGGGGTGAACAGAGGGTGGGGCCAGGGGTCAGGCTGTTTTGAGTCCAAAACTACTGAACATTCAGAGCAGTGTGGGCAGGTGCACTCATAAATCACCCATCATGACGGCTAAATGTGTTCAAAGAATCTCCAAAAATAATTCACTAAAGCCGGACGCAGCCTCTCACGACAATGCTAGCTGATCCATGGATGCCAATGGGTTCCTAGAACACTCACCTAGTGTGGGAAGCCTGTACCACCAGGGGCTTGCCCTCCAAAAGATAATTCTGGGGTTTTTTGGTCCCCTTTGTATGTGTGGAGAGGGAAAAAAAACACCAGGCAGGAGATACAACCACAAGGCTGACAGTGTTGTCATGAACTGGTGAGGGAAAGAACGGACAGTCGTTTCTGGAAACAAGCAAACAAAAAAACACACACTACCTTTGTACCTGTGTACTAAGAAATGACACCCATTTCAAAAATTACATATTTTTAAACAGTGCCTAAAACAGACTTTGCAATAGTTGAAAAACAGCCTGTACAACTGGAGAGAAGCTGGCCTCAGAGGTATTAGAGATATTCTAGAAAGTACTCAGGGCAGGGGACACATGGGTATTGTTTGCCTATTATTTTTTACACTCTAAATTTGTCATAAATATTATCTTGTATGTGTTTAATGTTTAATTTTGAAACAGCCTATCATGGCTGGGCACAGTGGCTCACGCCTATTATCCCAGCACAGATAAGAGGACTGCCTGAGCCCATGGGTTCAAGACCAGCCTGGGCAACATGGTGAGATCTCGTCTCTACAATAAGTCAAAAAACTAGCTGGGCATGGTGTCACGGGCCTATAGCTCCAGCTACTTGGAAAGCTGAGGCGGAAGGATCACCTGAGCCCAGCAGGTGGAGACTGCAGTGGCCATGAGCGTGGCACTGCACTCCAGCCTGGGTGACAGAGTGAGACTCCGATTAAAAAAAAAAAAAGAAAGAAAAAGAAACAGCCCATGCTATGTCTCACATTAAAAAATTCAATTCAGACTAGGTGTAGTGGCTCACACCTGTAATTCCAGACCTTGGGTTTACTTGGGCCCAGGAGTTTGAGATCAGCCTGGATAACGTAGGGAGACCTTGTTTCTACAAAAAAAAGTTAGCTGGGTGTGGTGATGTGCCCCTGTAGTTGCAACTATTTGGGAGGCTGAGGTGGGAGGACTGCTTGAGCCCAGGAGCTCAAGACTAGCCTGGGCAACACAGCAAGACCCCATCTCTATAAAAAATAAAACAAATGAAATAAAAAAGAATTCACCAAGGCTGGTTCTCACTGGGGACTGTCCTGCGGGCTCCATCCATGTGTCGGAGACGGGAGGCCAGATGACAGGGGTCTGGGATTCTCCGAGACTGGACTTTGCAATCCAAGCAGAATTAAACCAAGAGTGGACAAATTCCTTGGGGCTGCAGAGCCAGGTGCCCAGCCCAGAGAACTAAAGCACCATGCTCTGGCCTCCTCCCCGCAAACACACACCAGCCACTTCCTGGCACGGCCCCCAGTCCAGACGCAATGAGTGCATTTAGGCGGGCAATGATCTGAGAAAGGATTAACTTGCTGATCTTATTACCTAAATCGAAAGAGATTTTGCAGCCGTCAGTAACACGCTTGCAAGATTTCCCAGGTGTGAATTAAAGCCCCTCCCCCTTCCACATCCCTGCCAACTGCTGCCAACAGGTAACAGTGACAACACACTGGAAATTCGCAATCAAGACACAGACAGGGCCGGGCGCAGTGACTCATGCTTGTAATCCCAGCACTTTGGGAGGCCTAGGCAGGAGGAATTCTTGAGCCCAGGCGTTCAAGACCAGCCTGAACAACATAGCAAGACCTTGTCTCTACAATAAACCAAAAGGTCCACCGGGTGTGGTGGCGTGTGCCTGTAGCCCCAGCTACTCAGGAGGCTGAGGCGGGAGGATCCCCTGAGCCCAGGAAGTCGAGGCTGCGGTGAGCTCTGATCGTGCCACTGCACTCCAGCCTGGCAAGAGAGTGAGGCCCCAACTCAAAAAAAAAAAAAAAAGACCCAGGCAGAGGGGACGTGCCACAGCTCTGCTGTCCGTGACCCGGCATGCTGGTGTTGGTGGAGACGGAAGGCTCGCCCTCGGCAGCTCTACGGAACTCACCTGATGCCTTTGTTCTGCGCGATGCTGTGTAGGGACAGCCGGGACACTGCAGAGATGACCTGGGGGGAGAGGAGAAAGACACTCCTGTAACTTCTCGAGAAACCAGAAGGGCCTAGCAGCGCCCAAATCGAGAACTGCTAAGTAAGCGCATCTCCTTTTGGGAAGAAACAGTGTAACCAGTTTTAGGCGCGAGGCCTATTTTGTATTTGTTGTACACAATGTGTCACTTTGATGCACTGAGACCTGCTGAGGGCCCCTCCCCTACAGGCCTCAGCTCCCCCAGCCGAGCCGCCACCTCCCAGGCCCAGCTGTGACCCACTCCTGGCCCGCCGTCTCACGCAGCTTTGCCAAGGCCTTGCTTCGAGTCTTGACCCGGCCGTGCTTACAAAGGCGCCATCCCAAGCTGCTGTTCTGGAAGGTACCACGCGACTAACAGCAGCTCGTGTTCGCAAGAGGTGCCGACGAGTTTCGGAGACGGGGAAATCAAAGCCCAGAGAGGTCCAGCGGCTTGCCCAAAGCACACAGCAGCCGGGGTACCACACAAATGCAAACGGCCACGTGTGGTCGCGCCTGCTGCCATCCCAGCCCCTGCTCTGTGTGACACAGACACAGACGCCCGGCTCCCCGGAGGGCCAGGACACAGAAGGACAGCAGCACCTCCAGGAACAGAGCCGTGTAGCGGGAGCTCTCTGTGGCATCTCCCAGGTGGACAGCTCATCGGAAAGGAAATTCTGGAACCTTCTGCGAGGAGCAGGGGCCGCTCCTTCCTCCGCTGCTCCCCTAACCCAGTCCAGCCCCGAGAACTGTGCCTCCTCAAACACGCAGGGCCACCTGTCTCCCAGTCCCAGAACCCCAACGCGGCTGTTCCACAGACCAAAAGGATGGACAGCAAGCAGGCCTGAGGCTGAGAAAGGGCTCCACGGGTGATGATGGGGAAACTGAGGCAGGAAAGGGCGGTGGCTGACCCAGGAGCACAGATTATAACACACACAGCTGGGCTCAGTGGCTCAGCCTGTAATCCCGCACTTTGGGAGGCTGAGGTGAGTGGATTGCCTGAGCCTGCAGGTTCGAGACCCGCCTGGGCAACTTGGCGAGACCTCATCTCTACAGTAAATCAAAAATCAGCCGGGCGTGGTAGCGCACGCCTGTAATTCCGGCTACTCAGAAGGCTGAGGCGGAAGGATGACCGGAGCCCAGCAGGTCGAAGCTGCGGTGGTCGGAAGTGGCCACTGTCCTCCAGTCTGGGCGACGGAGTGCGGCTCCAACTCAAAAAATAAATAAATAAATAACACACACAGAGCAGGAAGCTACTCACCGTCACTCAACAAGATTAATGGAGCTCCTAGGGTTCCCAACTCCTGCAGACACAGCTTTGACATTGAGACTGTAGTATGTCTGTTAAGCTCTGTGTGTGTATGTATGTGTAAGTTTATGTGTGTGCATGTTGCTTGCGTGTGCATACGTGCATGGTGCCAGCACGTGCACACACACGTTGCTAGTTCATGTGTGTGTTGTGTGTGTACATGTCTGTATATGCACATGTGTGTCTAGCAATGGGGAACACAAAAACTGCCCACAGACACCCTCCACTGGGTGCTGCCGTCCTAGGACCTGATCCCAGAGGGAGTTTTTTCTCCTGCTTTGTTTTGAGTCAGGGTCTCATTCTGTTGCCCAGGCTGGAGTGCAATGGCATGCTCACGGCCACTGCAGCCTTGACCTCCGGGCTCAGGCCATCCTCCCGTCTCACAGCCATTCAACAAGATGAATGGGGTCCCCACAGTGCCCGACTCCTGCAGACAACACTGAGACCGTAGTGTGTGCACGGATGAGTTCACGCATGTGAGCACCTAAGTCCATCCGTGTGGTTGTGTGTGCATGTAGCCTGCATGTGTGTAGATGCGTGGTGCCTCAGCTTCTTGAGTAGCTGGGATTACAGGTGCGTGTCACCTCTAAAAAATTTTTTGTAGAGACGAGGTCTCACCATGTTGCCCAGGTTGGTCTTGAATTCCTAGGCTCAAGCGATCCTCCTGCCTCGGCCTCCCAAAGTGCTGGGGTTATAGGTGGGAGCCACCATGCCCAGTCTAGAGGGTTTTACATGGGCCATCCCAGAGAATCCTCCCACAAGGCTGGCCTGCCGGACACGCCTGCTGGACAGAAAAACCGAGGCTCCATCATGTGAAAAGTCCCCCAGTGGAGGACGTGTTCCCCAGATGTCCTTTGGGGCTGCTTGGCTTCCAGCAGCAATTTTTTTTTTTTTTTGAGTTGGAGTCTCATTCTGTCACCCAGACTGGAGTGCAGTGGCCGCTCCCAGCCACCGCAGCCTCAATCTGCTGGGCTCGAGATCCTTTCGCCTCAGCCTTCCACGTAGCTGGAACTACAGGCGCGCATTACCACACCTGGTTCATTTTTTATTTTATTGTAGAGATGAGGTCTCGCCAAGTTGCCCAGGTGGGTCTCGAACCCGCAGACTCAGGCAATTCACTCACCTCAGTCTCCCAAAGGCACGGGATTACAGCCTGAGCCACCGAGCCCGGCTCCAGCAGCAATTTTTTTACAGGAGAAGGGAAAATAAATGAACCGCAGAGAAGGACCCCTTCTCCCCTGGAGAGACGGCAGGTTCGACCACACGCAGGCCATGTGTTCTCCCTGGACATGGCTGTGTTTCAAGACCTGGGACTCAAGGAAGCCATGAACCCGTGGGATGACTGGGGTCTTGTGTGTTCCCCAGACAAGCCTCAACTGGCCAAGGAGGCAGCCAGCCCAGCTGCAGCTCCAACCTCTTGTGCTGCAAGGTGTCTTTCACAAATAATGAGCAGCCTGGCTTCGGCTGTTATGTTCGGCTTTCAAGAGCTCTAAATATTTAGGAAGAACAAAAATTAAAGCAATACTGCTGTATGCCCCTATAGTGATTTGACAGAATGCTAGAAATGCTGGAACTTGAAGGGTTTGGTCACTACAGGGCGCACGAGCCAGCCTCTCTCCTGTGCCTCCAGTGGCAGACATTGCTAATCTACTGCCAATTCCTTTCCAAAGAGCCAGACATAGGCTCAGAACCCTTCTTGCCAGAGAATCTCAAGGAGGCACCTGCAATCCGCCAGCGTTGACACGTGAAACCTGTTTGCCAACCCAGAGTCGGTCAGTGCCACACACGGGGAGCCCAAGACAGAGGGGCTGCCAAGGCCAGAACGTGGGTCTCCCGTGTCCCTGTGTCTGCAGTCCCAGAGAACAGACCCGCTTCCAAAGCTGCTGTGGCCCCTGCAAAAGCCTCAGTCCTGAGCTTGCAGCACTTTGTCCAGGACAGAAGCTGCCGCTAGTGTGCCATGGAGGGTCTCCGAAGGGTTCATGGCATCACACAGAGCAGCTCCTTAAACGTGGTTAAATGTGGCCAAGGTGGCCAGCCATGCCAGAGGATTCCCATCCCTCTGTCCACCTGGGCTTTTTGCTCCCTGGCTGGCGTCTATTCAGGGAGGGAAAAGCTTGGGGGCCCACGACAAGGGGGTCCCCACCCCAGTGACCCACGGCCCAGGACAGGGACTGCTAGAAGCAGACACAGGGCCCCTGAGACAGCCACGGGGTCAGGCCAGGGGCGGAGGCGGTGCCCCATGGAACCGTCCAACCTAAGAGACAAGATGCAATAGCCTCTCCCTGCAGGAGGGTTGGGGGAAGAAGCCCCTCACGGCACCCAGAGGCACCCCTGGCCTGCCCACTCCCAGGACAGAGAGCCAGTGTCCCCAGGGCAGTGATGACCAAAAGCCTCCAGGGACCAGGCTCAGTGGCTCATGCCTATAATCCCAGCACTTTGGGAGGCCGAGATGGGAAGATCGCTTGAGCCCCAGGAGTTTGAGACCAGCCTGGACAACGTGTTGAGACCTCATCTCTCCAAAAAATAGGAAAATTATCTGGGCGTGGTGGCATGCGCCTGTAGTCCCAGCTACTTGGGAGGCTGAGGCAGAAGGATGACCTGAGCCCAGGAGGGCGAGACCAGCAACCGTGATCATGAGGCTGCACTCCAGCCTGGGTGACAGAGAGAGTCCCCGGCTTGAAAAAAAGAATCAAAAAGCCTCCCGGCTCACAGCCCCAGCCAACACTTCTGAGAATGTAAATGTCAAAGGATGACATTTTCCCAACTTTTATTACCTCCGAGCCTGCGTCCCAGTTAACCGATGAAGATACACTCCTCCTTGCTTCCCTTTCCTCCTCCCCTCCCTCCTCCCAGTCAGCCAGCTCCATCCACCTCCAGGGGCTCCGTCACCCACCAACCCATGGAGCCTCAGGCCTGGGGAGGATTAGAGGAATATGTGTGTGCTGAGGTCAAGCAGGGGGAAAAACAAGACGAAAGACGGCCCCCCTGGAGAAGCAAGCCTGCTGTGGAGTCCCTCTGCCATCAGTGCCCGGGACCCACGGCCGTCTGTGCTGTTCAGCGATGCCCACCCCAGGCCTTCCAGGTGATGGGTGCTCAGTGGATACTGAGGGACCAAGAAGTGGACCAGACAGCTCACTGACCGGGGGACAGGGTTGGCTGGGGTCTGGGTACCGGATGGCCATCTGGGCTCCGTCCCCACCCAGCCCTGGCCTGCTGTGACTCCAGATTCCCAAACATCAGTGGCCTGGCACCCTCGACACGCCCACGGAAGGAGACTTCGGAGGAAGAGTCCAGGCCTCACCCTGTAGGCTCCGGGGTCTGAGAATCTGCATTTGTTTTGAGGCTCCCACTCGATTGGGATGTGCCCCCCTGTCCCCGGGGATGGTCAGAGCTTTTGGGTGGCAGGATCAGGACCCGACCGCCCTCCCATGGATGCCCCGCAGAGACAGGACCCCTGACGGGCACGTGAGACAGGCCAGGGCCTCCACGCTGGACACAGAAGCAGAGACTTCAGAAAGGACTCAGAGAAAGAGATGGGGTCTGCAGACCAGAGCTGGAGGGGTGGGGCCCAGGGGAGAGGGGCATCCAGAGTTCCAGAAGGGGGGCCCCTAGGACCTGTCCCCAGGGGTCAAGCAACAGACTAGATCCATCGTGTCAGCCCCCACGGGCCCCGAAGTGGGGTGGCCCCCCTAAAGC